TTGTATTTATGCCCTTATCTGGTCCTTAACATTTCTTATATGCAAAAATCATGGGAGGTCTAACATATTCAATAAATGTGTTGAGGCCGAAGAATAGACATGCTCATTTTTTAGCGTATCATGTTGAGCTTGACTCACTCTGTTACATGTTGTGCCCATATGTTATTATTTGTGGATTTTATGTGATTATAAAAAAGTTTGAGGATGAATAAAAAAATCACATGATAATCTCAATATTTATTAAAACACATGTTAGAATCTTGCACTTCAACTTAAAAAGGTGAAATTTGTATGATTTTTTATGAATGTTGTAAGAAAACGTAATTGTGATGGTTTTTTTCATTTCACCGCTCTTTATATGAGACTACAAGTTACAATTCACCTTCACACTAATACTAAAAACTCAAATGTCTGTTTTGACTTGTAAAATAATAAAGAGAGAGAGAATCAACCAAACAAGAATCAGTGAAGAACTAGAGAGATAAAAAGAGAAAGAGAGAGTAAACAACCAGGGGGAGAAACACTGAGAGAGATAAATTTCAAGTGGGTTTTGGGAATTTGATTCAATTTCAACTAGTTTCTAATTTTGTTTCCATTTCTTTTATTTTTAGGAAAAGACGACAATAAAAGTTTGGCCCCTCGATTTATTTATTTATTCATGCAGTAGAATTCTTCTTCTCCATCAAAACAAGAATGAATGAAGAACTAAACAGAGAAACAGAGAGAGAGTGTGTGACCAAGAGAGAATAATTTCACGTGGATTTTTTTTTTAGAGATTGATTATATAGAGGAGACTTGGTTCTCAAGTGAACTACTTTTCTAAGTGTAACGGGTTTCTGATTCTATTACTTAGTTTCTAATTTAATTTGTTTCCCTTTCTTTTACTTTGAGGAAAATACTATCAGAAAATGTTTTGCCCCTCTCGATTTATTTATTTATTTTAAGTGTGGATAGCTCTCCAATTATATATATATATATATATATATACATACACTAAGAAAAGGAGGCACGTGTTTTTTTTTATGCATTAGAACAATATATATATTTGTAATGAACTTACAAGCCATCATATTTAAATACGTTAAGAAGCCGCTAGAATAAACATTTTGGCATGAAATCATAATTTTAATTTTTTTTTCACACTAACATATATGCAATAATCACATATTGAAAATGAGAGATGAAAAAATTTATCCTTTCTAATTCATAACAAAATGACTCAAGTGATGGAACAAACTAATGAGCTTATGGATCCAAATTAATCTCATAGAAAAAAAAAAAAAAAAAAAAAAAAAAAAAAAGATGTTCTTTTTTTTGCCCAATATGTACAATATATATATATATATATATAATCAAAAACCAATTTACATGATGATGGTCGTAGTAGAGTTCCTATTCTTAATTTTGAATGATTTATTGGATATCTAAAGGAAACGGACCTGCTGTCGATTAAAATAGCAGGAATTTTCTTGAATATAAGATCAGAATTATGTTAGCAGAAATGCATGAGGTAGGACTGTAAAATTTACTTTCACCTTAGGAAGGAGACTCACACAAATTGATCTGATATAATTTTAGTATTTTACAAGCCAGAAAATGTAACGCATCCTATAGCCGTCAAGAAAGGAGACAAGGACTTCTTGTGATTGAATTGTTCTAGACATCGCCATGTTACAAATGCGAGTAAAAATGTGATGGAGAAACCATTTTAATCTTGAAATCAGGTCATGATATTTCTTTTTTCCTTTATTCTTCATCAGCTGCATTTGGCTGCTGCCAATATAGGAAGAAGAAGCATTACATCTCACAGCGTTTTGTCATCTCTTGTACTGAAAAACGACAATAGTACCACTAACACAAACAATCGTAATAAGAGTAAAAAAAAACCATGAATTTATCCCACAAAAATTTCCTAGCAATGAATGGAGAATTTCAATTTTACTCAACATCGCAACTTAACCTTACAATTTCCTAACAAAGCTTGAGAAGTTGTTCTTGAAGTTGGGCAAGAGGTCCCCGGCAAACTCCAGCGGGTTCCACACCATGAAGCTGTTATCCATAGGACTCCAAAGCAGTGGATTTTCCCCAAGTTTCTACAAGATAAATGCAATGGGTGTGTTTTTTTTTTTCTAAATTTGAACTTGAGTTGTGTATGTAAGACAGTGGAAGAAAAACATTATAGTTAAAAAGTTGAATTTAAATTTTTATGAAAAAAGACATTGTAATAATATAATTTGAGTTATGACTTGAGTTGTGAAACGAACAATGCCAATGTTTCTTCCTTTTTTTATTTTTTCCCTGCACAATAGATCTCAACTATAAAAACCAAATGCAAATCTCCTTATTATTATTTTTATTATTATTATTACTATTATTACTATTATTATTATTATTATTATTATTATTATTATTATTATTAATGTATCAATTGCAAATTTAATATTTGAATGTAAAAAACACTCTCCATTGTAATGCTATTTGTTGTGATAAATTTTTCATGTGCTATAGTTTGTGGTAAATTTTTCACCATGTATAGTATATGAGAAATTTGACATTTGATTATTATTGATTGAAATGTTTATTTTTTCCATGTAATCAATGCAACGTTTACATTTTCTAATTATTTAAAAAATAATATTTACTTTTACAACTTCCAAAGCTATAGAAAAAAGTAGATTTTAACATTTCAAATAGCATTATGTATTAGAGCAAAAATAAAAGGATTACTTTCAAAAATTTCCCATGAGCTATGATCCTTGTAATTCTTTGCCTCCCGAACTTTAAAAAGTAACATCCGTTCCTCTCAAACTTTGTTCCGTTAATAAGTTTTCACATTCTGTTACAATGAGTGACGGAATTCACCACGTGTTAGGTACGTGACCCATCTGATGAGAGTATTATCGTAAATTAACCTACAACAACCCTTCTAAGCGTTAATGAAAGAAAACCCAAATCTCGAACAACATAAAGATCAAGAAAAAAAAAGGATCCAGAAGATACAAGATCAAAAACATGATCAGAACAATGAATTCAAGACAGAATGTGACAAGAAACTTACTGAGAAAATCAGCGTTCTCGTGACAGAATGTTACATAAAATGAAACAGATTCAACCCACAGGCTCAATCAAATCCAAATGAACTAGATTCAACCCAAATACACAAAAGCCTTTTCTTCTAATGTTAAATGATTTACCTTATACCAAATATACCCATAAAATTGTCTTCTCAGATTCTTTTTCGTGTGTGATGCCTTCACTACCGGATCCAACCCACATCGATGAATAAAATGAGGGGAAAAAAGAAGAAAAATGGGGAACAAACTGAGGAAACAAAGAAGGAAAATGGGGAACGAAGATGGTGAATTTTTTCAATAAAAATAGGAAATTATCTTATTAGAAGGGTATAAGCGTAATTGCACTTTTAATTCTCACTAAATAAGTGACACGTGGTAATTCGGTCACTTATTGTAACATAAGGAGAAAACTGATTAACGGACCATAGTTCAAGAGGAATGGATGTTATTTTTTAAAATTTAGAAAACAAAGTGTTATAAGAGTCATAATTCAAGAAAAATTTTTACCAATACAATGCTATAATTAATGTATCGATTGCAAATTTAATATTTGAATGTAAAAAACACTCTCCATTGTAATGCTATTTGTTGTGATAAATTTTTCATGTGCTATAGTTTGTGGTAAATTTTTCACCATGTATAGTATATGAGAAATTTGACATTTGATTATTATTGATTGAAATGTTTATTTTTTTCATGTAATCAATGCAACGTTTACATTTTCTAATTATTTAAAAAATAATATTTACTTTTACAACTTCCAAAACTATAGAAAAAAGTAGATTTTAGCATTTCAAATAGCATTATGTATTAGAGCAAAAATAAAAGGATTACTTTCAAAAATTTCCCATGAGCTATGATCCTTGTAATTCTTTGCCCCCCGAACTTTAAAAAGTAACATCCGTTTCTCTCAAACTTTGTTCCGTTAATAAGTTTTCACATTCTGTTACAATGAGTGACGGAATTCACCACGTGTTAGGTACGTGACCCATCTGATGAGAGTATTATCGTAAATTAACCTACAACAACCCTTCTAAGCGTTAATGAAAGAAAACCCAAATCTCAAACAACATAAAGATCAAGAAAAAAAAAGGATCCAGAAGATACAAGATCAAAAACATGATCAGAACAATGAATTCAAGATAGAATGTGACAAGAAACTTACTGAGAAAATCAGCGTTCTCATGACAGAATGTTACATAAAATGAAACAGATTCAACCCACAGGCTCAATCAAATCCAAATGAACTAGATTCAACCCAAATACACAAAAGCCTTTTCTTCTAATGTTAAATGATTTACCTTATACCAAATATACCCATAAAATTGTCTTCTCAGATTCTTTTTCGTGTGTGATGCCTTCACTACCGGATCCAACCCACATCGATGAATAAAATGAGGGGAAAAAAGAAGAAAAATGGGGAACAAACTGAGGAAACAAAGAAGGAAAATGGGGAACGAAGATGGTGAATTTTTTCAATAAAAATAGGAAATTATCTTATTAGAAGGGTATAAGCGTAATTGCACTTTTAATTCTCACTAAATAAGTAACACGTGGTAATTCTGTCACTTATTATAACATAAGGAGAAAATTGATTAACGGACCATAGTTCAAGAGAAATGGATGTTATTTTTTAAAATTTAGAAAACAAAGTGTTACAAGAGTCATAATTCAAGAGAAATTTTTAAAATTAATCCAAAATAAAAATAACATACCATTTGATGCTAAATATACAATTGGAATTGATATGGTCTTACAACATTATTAACAAGCGGATGTCAAAACGGCAAAGGTAGACTACAAACGACACCAACAATAGGAGAAGCTATGTATGGGTGGGGCCCAATATTTGGTGTTCACAATCAACAGCTGTGGATATGCACACCATACCATTAGCTGTTGCAACATAATCATGTATTTGTACACCTCAATCAAAAACAGAGCGTAATCCCGTGGAACCCAATTGGGAGAGGATGAGATTTCCATGATGAAACGAAGGAAAAAATTGTTATTGAGAGATTAATGGCTTTAAATGGTAATTCCGAAATGGGTTTTTCTGGGGACAATCTCAAAGGCTTCATTCTGGCTTTGATGTCAAGTGGATTTATTGGGGCAAGTTTCATCATCAAGAAGAAAGGTCTCAGAAGAGCCGCTGCTACTTCTGGCATCAGAGCTGGTAAGGTTTTTTTTTTTCTCCTTTTATTATTGTTATTTAATTTTTTTGGTTTATTTTTAATTTTCTCGATTGGGTTTTTATTTGATTGTTGACTTTTTTTTTCCCTCTTTTGACATCATTGTTTGTAGGTTATGGTGGCTATGCTTACCTCTTGGAGCCTCTGTGGTGGCTAGGCTTGATCACAAGTAATTCTTTTTTTTTTTTTCTTGGAGCCTCTGTGGTGGCTAGGCTTGATCACAAGTAATTCTTTTTTTAAAAAAAATTATTTTTACTTCTAATCTCTTAATTCAGGTTGTTGTTATGATTCTGTATTATAAGCTTGTAAGTCAATCTTATTCCTTATTTGATATTTAATTATAACGCTTCTAGAAATTGTTTTTGTTGTATTCGTCTCATCTCATGAGGTAAAATCAATAAAACTGATATCTGTTGGACTCGTTAAGTTTTGTTAAACTTTCATTTACATATATTATGTAATATATTTTGATTGGTATTGGGGTTTGTAATTGTCTTATAACTGCTTATCTTGCCTTTATGCTTTAGCCGTTGGAAATAATGGTTTGTTAGCTATTCTGGGCATTTTGTATTGCCTGGTTTGACCCCAGTAAAGTAATTCTTTTCTCTAGTCTTTTATTTCCTCTAAGAGCGTGCTACAAGCCTTTAAGTCAAACCTCATTTAATGGTTCTTCTAGTGCTGCTTCTGTAAATTGTGTTGATCACATTGGTTTCACAACGAAAATTCAAACTTCTTCCCTAACCTTTGAAAATGAACTCCGCTGCGCATGAAAATCATTGCTTTGTTCATTTCTTGCAATTAGAACTACCATTACTGGTTTGATATTCACTGATCATGTGCAAATCTCTCTTGAATTTATGATTTCTGATCTAGTGATTGTTGGAGAGATAGCAAACTTCACTGCCTATGCATTTGCTCCAGCAATTCTTGTTACTCCTCTCGGAGCATTAAGCATAATTGTCAGGTGATTGTCTAGAGTTATGCACTTCTAATTTCTCCATTGGTCTTGCAAAGTAGTCCTCTAACTTCCTTAAGGTGGTTTTTGAGTGGTTTTTAATATTGTCTGAGAATTCATGTTTGGGGTGTATAGTGCAGTATTAGCCCACTTCATTTTGAAAGAAAGGTTACCCAAGCTCGGGGTGTTGGGCTGCGTGATGTGCATTGCTGGATCGGTCATAATTGTTATCCATGCACCTCAGGAGCATCCAATCTCTTCTGTTATGGAAGTATGGGATATGGCAATCCAACCAGGTTGGTATTTGGCCTTATTTTTATCTCTTGGATCATGTCTTATCCTTGCTGACTTACAGAATCATGTTATTTTTCAGCCTTTCTGCTTTATGTGGGATCAGTACTCGTTTTGGTTTTCATTCTGGTCTTCCATTTTGCACCACGATGTGGACACACAAATGTCCTAGTCTTCACTGGCATTTGTTCATTGATGGGCTCTCTATCGGTAAATCATCGGTTTGCTTCAGAAGCTTTTTATTGTAGTATTCTTTTGTAATCGCTTGTACCAAGACTTGAATGGGTTCAAAGCATTTTCTATTTATTTGTGCCTTAAAATATTTGTCATGCTATGTGTCATATTTTCTTCTTACACATAGTTAAACACTATTCTGCAGGTAATGAGCGTTAAAGCCGTTGGAACTGCTCTGAAATTAACTTTTGAGGGGAATAACCAGTTAATCTATCCAGAGACATGGTTGTTTATGTTGGTAGTGGCTACATGTGTCATCATGCAGATGAATTATCTTAACAAGGTTAGTCGTGCAATACCTTAGCAAGAATGTTGAAACCGGTTAGTCTTGCCTTGTTTTGCAACTCCCCGTGGCATGCTTGTTCCCATCATGTAACTTGTGCCTTTTCTGTTCCTGCATCACGCTTGCAAGTTCCTCCGAACTATTACTTCTTTGTGTAATTCCTATGTCAACTGATAAATTAGGTTCTAGGGAGAAACACGATATGTCTCCTTTTGGAGACGAATCCCATTCTAATACTAGTTCAGAAAGAAATGTGTGTTATATGATTAAGGTTTGTATTTGACTCCATTTCATTGCACTCCGACTGTGAGAACTGAAAGGTAGATTTTAGCTTCATTGCTCTGACATTGTGAGAACTGAGAACCGTCATAATATTACCATACAAGAACTATCAAAGGTAGATTTTAGCTTCATTGCTCTGACATTGTGAGAACTGAGAACCGAGAACCGTCATAATATTACCATACAAGAACTATTGTAGAGAAGGGAAGAACATTTAAATTCCATTGCAGGCGTTACACCGAGATTTCCTATGATTTAAGAGCTTGCATGCATCCTAAACCGTAAAGCAAGCACACAAAACATATTACCGCTTCCTTTTGTCATGTCGTCCGATTGCCTCTGCACTTTTATTGCACAGAGCTGGGAAATACTTGAATTTTAAACCTAAGAACAATCTCTCATGAAGAGTTAATTATCCAGAAAGAAAAACGTGTTGAGGAACAAAATATGGATACTTAGGAATTAAAGATTATGTTTATTTATTAGGATTATTTATCCTTTTTTTCTTTTGTTATTGGTGCTGTATTATTTATCGTTTTTTTTTTTTTTTTGGTGCCTATATTACCCTGTTGAATTCAATTTTGCAATAATAATTGTGCAATGGGTTTTTGGATTGTACTTTTCTGCTTTTTCTCTGTAGCATCCTCTGCCATCTTGTAGGAGATTTTGCATTTACATGGCTTTAAAGATTTTCTTTTAACTAAATTTTATATCTTATGCTCTAACAAACATAACTCTGGTATTTCAGGCACTCGATACATTCAACACTGCGGTCGTCTCGCCTATCTATTATGTCATGTTTACAACCCTTACAATTCTTGCCAGTGTTATAATGTTCAAGGTATTCTTCAAGTCAGTGTAATGGCTTCTGAATTTGGATATGTTAAGTGATCCTTTGATTTATACCTGTTTGGTTTGTCTAGATGTCATTAATGAAGTCGAAACAAACTTAACAATTTATGCTTCATCCCAGTCAATATACAAGTAGGTTAATTTACAGGGCAAACGTTTACAAATCCAAGACAAGCCTAATATTGGAATTACCATCTCTGATCGTTTTTAGTCTTTTGTAGATCAAATTGTTGGTAATACAAGTTGAAATTTAACTGCTAAGCTTACCAGTCAAATTTTATGAAATGATGTTAGGACTGGGATGGCCAAAGTGGTGGAAGCATTATATCAGAAATATGTGGATTCATTATTGTGCTCTCTGGGAGCATCATATTGCACTCAACAAAAGAGTATGAGAGAAGCTCTACTTTTAGAGGTGTAGTACTAAACTTCAATCCCTTATTTACATTGTTCTTTGTCACTTCTAACATTTTTTTTGGTGATTTGAACCTTGAAATATATATATATATATATATATATATATATATATTACTTTCATACTCACATTGTTGAACAGTTGCAGGTGGCTATTTACCCGTATCCGCTTCCTTGTCTGCTCAGCTGTGTAGCGGAAACGGAGAATACTCCAAGCATGAAGCAGAAAATGATCCCCCTTCTGAAGAATTTTGCTCAAGAAAACAAGATTTATACTAAATGGTAATCTTAAAATGAGTGATCTCTCAAGATGGCCCATTAGATGATTCCGATCACCAATTCGAAAATGTCGGAAATTCCCATGATTTGTTTTTAGTGGTGTTCTATTGCCTCTTTGAGCGCCGTCGCATTTCCAGCATGAAGGCTTTTTGTGTGCAGAGGAGAGGAACTCATAGCAGCTAATTCCAACTTCCTGGGAATCCGGATTCGCATATGTTGAGTGTGTCCAAGATTGCTGACTTTTCACTTTGAGTTGTTTGTTCCACTTTAAGGAAAAAACGCTTGAACAAAGTTGAATGCCTTGGGGCTTGGTGGACCAGAGAACTTGGATTTTGCATGAGGAAAGCTGGACTTTGCTAAATGCAGCAACGTCTGGGCCATGGGCAAAAGGGCTCCATTATTTTTTCCTTTTTTTTTTTTTTTTTTGCTCTTGTGAATAGTTGGCCAACAAATGAATGATTGACTTGGGGTGTTGCAGTTTGTGTAGCAATTTAAATTGACTGGTATTGAGTGATGTAAAGTAATTACAGGCCCTGGTGTTCGTCAATGTAAGTTCATGTTAAAATGTGAATAGAAGGTTTTTTTTGTCAAAAGAAAAAAAAAATCTGATGTTATGAGTTGATAACTTCATATTATGACGAATGATTTATGACATAACAGACTTTTACATGAATGCAAAGAAAAATCACTTTTATTTTTAAAAAAATT